GAACAGTCCTGCTGGGGTCACAGGCTCCCCTCTGAACCAAGTGCTATGAGTCCCAGAAGGAGGGAGATTGGAATAAATCTGTAAAATCAGCCGCTGCTACAGTCCACTCGGGAACTTAGCCAACATCACCAGGAGGGAAGACAGTGCCGATGAGGGTGTAGGGTCAGGGAATATCCACTGGGGTTCAAGGGAGGGAAAATCATGCTCCCCTGAGGTAGGAAAGGCTTCACGGTAGAGGTGGGATTGGAGCTGGGTGTTGAAAGATTAAGAGTTGAAAAATGGATACAGAAAATACGGTACTTTCATTCCTGACCATTTTCAAAAGCTCAAGCAAACTCAGTAGCCTTATGGGATGAAAGGGATCGTGTTGTTTTTCTTCCCTTTGCTGTTGGTTCAGAATGAGAAGTGTTTCCCTTTGAGCACCGAGTCCTTCCAGAGACTGACCAAAGCCGGGGGGAAGAGTCTGGGTGTCGGGACACAAATCTCCAACACGGGCACTCACACGTAAAGCAGGAAGAAAGGTTTGCTTCTCCGTAACCTGAAGAAAGGTTGGTAAGTGGAACTGGCAGCTCCCTAATCACTCCAGAAAGCCTCGTGATATAAATAAATGATTCAAATATGAAGTGACTTACCTTAGGAAACATGCATTGCTTTTTTGTTTGTTTTTCATGTTCCTAGCATGGTTTCCTTCAGTTTGGAGTGGAATAAGCTGGTAATTTTCATACGCATGTATTAATTCCAAAACTCTCTGGTGTTGGAATTTTAGGAAGACGTTTTTATTGAGGTTGCAAGTAGCTTAGTGATGTCCCAAGCAGTCCGGCCCCTGGAGCCTGTGGCTCATTTCTGCAGTACAGGGGTCAGTCTTTTGAGATGGAAATGCCTCTGTGGCCAACCAGGGTGCTACTGGCTGGATCAAGCCAGGTAACTGAAAAGGTGGTGGTGATGATGTTGATGATGAAGATAGCAACTGTTGATCTTACAGGTGATGCAGCCAGGATATAAACCCTATTCTCCCCTGTTCTGACTGTTGTACTGTCTTTCCTAAAGAACTGAGGTACCTTTCATTGGTTCAAGGGCTGTAAGAACATCCGGGGATTTATTGTTTCCTGGTTATTTGATGATGAAATGATTTCTTGGGATGCAAAGCTCTTTTCGTTGGCAAGTCTGCACCTTCATGCAGGGCGTGGGAGATGTACTCTTATGTGCCTTAAGCTGACTCTCTCTGGACCAGTTTGTCCTTAGAGCGCATTGAATGCAGGTCAGCAGCCCAGCTTCTGTCCTCTGTTTCCTTCGGGGGCCGAGCCATAAGACTCCCGGAAGGACAAGAGTCCTATAGGGGATTCCTGACTTCAGGTAGCTAGAGCCACATAAACCAGTTTAACTTAATTGGATTGATTTGACTGGTGGCGTAGATCATATTATTGTTCTCAATCATTGGCTCCCCATGTCAATTCCCACGCACTGCCATGTGACTTGCAGTGTCTCTTATGGTGGGAGCATACTTCTCCACCCCCTTGATATTGAGTGTGGTGCCATGACTTGCGTTCTCATGAACAAATGGAGATGTGAGCGGAAGAGACTAGGTGCCAGGTAGGAGCAGAGGCTTTAGGAGACTCTGCTCTTACTCCCTTGCTCATCTGCCTCCCTTCTTTTCCATCTGCCATGAGAGTGGCTTGTCCGTGTTAGGTATTGCTCTGTCAGCCTAGGCTTTCACATGTATTGTCATACTGGTTGTTGTAAGCTACTGAGATTTAGGCTTGTTACAATGACATAACTATGGGAAAGTTGACAGGTACAGAGGGTCACTTATTGTCCTAAACCCTCCCGTGAAGAATGGTCCAACTCTCTATGTAGATATAGACTGAGGTTGTGACAAATCAGGAAAAATTAATCCTAAGCATAAGAAAACTAAGGAACGCCAGTCAGATTAAACCAACAATAACAAGAAGCCAATTTTGCCTGTGAAAGGCTATAAAAAGAAGCGTATTGGAGAGAGTGTGCTAGAAACAGGCATTCTTAGACATTGTTAATAGGGGCATAAATTAATATAATGGTGCTGAAGATTCATTCAGAAATAATGCTAATGCTAATAATAATAGATGCCATTTGTAGAGTATCTTTACGTGCCAGACACGACTATTTGAAGTTTTATTAACCCCACTTGAATTAATAAAATTGGTTCACATGTACTAGTTCACTTAATCCTCATAACAACCTTGTAAGGGAGATACTATTATTAAACAACATATTTCAACAGCCTTCAAAATTTATGTATGCTCTTTGATTCACATCTGGGAATTTATCCTAATGAAACTATTAAAGATGGGGTGTAAACTTTTAATATAAGAATGTGGATGGCAGTCTTGTTTATAATTGTGAAATTTGGAAGCAATATAAATATTCAGAAAATGGGGATCTTTTCAATAAACTGATCCATTTAAAAGTGATATAAAAATATGTAGTGGGCATGAAATACGTTAAGTATATTGTGTAGCTTACAATAGTCCTGCCTTGTCCAGCACAATAGCCACTAGTCACGTGAGCACCTGAAATATGGCTAGTCTTTTCTTTTTAAATGTAGCGAGTCTGAAATGAGGTGTGCAATAAGTGAAGAATTAGTATGGAAAGAAAAGAATGTAAACTATCTCCTTGATAATTTATATTTATTTTTATATTTATATTTATATAATTTTATATTGATTGCAATGTTGAACTGATAATATTTTGGACATATTCAAATTAATTTCACTTTCTCCTTTGTATTTATAAAATTTTTACTTTTATTTTTTAGTAACAACTATGTTTAAAGTGTACAACATAACGTGGTCTACACAATAATGTTTTGATGTACATATACATAGCAAAATGATGACTACAGTCAAAGTCATTCACATACCCATCTCCTTACATCGTTCGTTTATTGCGTGATGAGGCTGCCTGGAAATGGACTCTTTTAGCAGATTTCTAGTACACAATGCAGTATTATTAACTATAGTCACTGTGCTGTGCACTAGATTTCTATACTCCTTCATTCTACACAACTGCACCTTCTCTCCCCAGTATCTCCTCTTCCTCTCAGCTCCCTGCCGTTGGTAACCACCATTCTACTCTCGGCTTCCATGTATTCAACTTTTTTATGTTCCACATATAAGTGAGATCATGAAGTATTTTTCTTTTGGGGTCTGGCTTATTTCACGTAGTAAAATGTCTTCCAGGTTTATCCAGATTGTTGCGATTGGCAAGACCTCCTTTTTAAAGGCTGGATAATATTCCAGGGGCTCTACGTACCACAATTTCTTTATCCGTTCATCTGTTGATGGACATTTGTGTTGTTTCCATATTTGGGTGTTGCGAATAATGCTGCCATGAACGTGAGCATACAGATATTCTCTGAGGTGCTGATTTCAGTTCCTCTCGGAAGATACCAGAAGTGGGATTGCTGAACCATATGGTGGTTCTCTTTTTCATTTTTTTGAGGAACCTCCATTCTGCTCTCCATGACGGCTGCACCAGTTTGCATGCCCACCAGTGTACAAGGCTTCCCTTTTCTTCACCTCCTCGCCAGCACTAACCTTTTGTCTTTTTGATACTAGCCGTCCTAACAGGTGTGAGGTGATGTCTCACGGTGGTTTTGATTTGCATCTCCCTAATGATGAGTGATGTTGAGCATCTTTTCATGTACCTGTTGGCCACTTCTATGCTTCCAAGTTGTGTTTGTACTTCTAAAAGAATGTGGCTACTAGAAAAACTTAAAATTTCATATGTGACTCACATTTATTTCAGGCTTTGCAAGCCACATGCTCTCTGTTACAACTATTCAACTGCTATTGTAAGCACCATGATGGATGAGGAGTGCTGGGTGGGAAACTGAGTCAGAAGTCCAGTTCTCTGGCACAGAAATGCCAGGCAGCAACCCTGGGCAGTGACTGGAGAGACAGTTCCACTCACTCCTGGGTCTGGGTGTTGGTCAGTACCACTCTGGGGCTGGTGAGCAGAGAGAGGGCATGAGTGGTCCAGGTGTCAGGGATGGGGGAAGGCAGGTATGGCAGAGGCTGTGGATGGCCCCTAATGCCGTTCTTCCCTTCTGCCTGGGTACTAGAACTCCCAAGCTTTCACTGGACACATGGTCACCAAACCAGACTCCCTTACAGATCAGTGTGGCCATGCCCTTCCTCTCCTGCTCTCCTTCCTGTGGTGCAAATGCAAGGGCTGGAGCTCAAGCAGCCATCTAAGACCATGAGGTGGACCCATTTTTGAGATTGGTGGAACAAGAATACAGGTAGAGACGGTGTCCCTGATAGTTGCAAAACTCTGATCTGCTCACTTCCAGACTTGGTTTCTCTTAGACATTTCAATACATACATGCAATATCAATACATATATGCGATATCTCAATACATTTCTATCTTGGCTAATTTATTATTATTTGGGGTTTGCTACCATTCTGAATTAAGCTGAAATTAATTTTAACTAATTTAACAAGGACTGGTGTATCAATAATGCTGGCCTCAGAAAGCCGGCTCCCCCTCCTAATCCTCTCTCTATAGCGTAGATTCTATATAGACCAATTCTAATTTTAATTAATAGGTACTTAATTAAATCACTTTAAGCAAATGGCAGCAAACCCACTCGCTGGTGTGATTGCTCCCTAACTGCTGTGATTCCTGCTGTGCTTTCAGTTCAGAGCCACGCCCACCCCCATCCTCCCTACCCCCCACCCCTGCCAGCATCTCTGGTAAAGGCACAATAGAAGGAAAAGCTGAACTTAGAAATAGAATGCTCTTGATCCGCAAGCAAATTCAGAGGCACAACCATCCTTACCGCTTTCTCAGCCTCCTCCCCCATTCCAGTTCCCATGGTCATCAACTGCACCTCACTGTTCTCCATTCTTCCTTTCTCTGACCAAGCTCAGTTCCTGCTTCTGTCCCTTGATGTCCTGGATCCCAGCCCCTCCTGCCCAGAAAACAACCCCCTCCCACAATAATCCACTATCCCCTGTAAGAAATTAACCTTTTCGTTTGTTACAGTTCTGGGTATGAGAGAAAAGTAGGGTTGTAGGTCCGGTTCCTCAGGAAACAGACCTTGAGACATATTTATTCAGGAGTATGGGAATAATACCTGTCAGACGGTGAAGGAAACACAGGACAGAGAACAAAGTGGAAGTTAAAGCAGTTGCCAAAGGAAGCCTCGCCCATCCCATGGGGCACTCTGAAGATGAGATGGCCCTTCAGAGATGTTTCCAATTGAGGCAAGGGGTTGAGTGCCTTCCTCCTTCGGGGGTCTTGGCAACACATTACAGTATCCACTCCAGGTGCACTGAAGGATTCTGGCTGACCTTGGTGAGACTCTTGGGGTGGCTGACTGAGACCCAGACCCTGAACGTTCTTTATATGTCCATAGATAATTAGTGTCTCCATGACAAAGTCACACCAACTAAATTCAGACAAGACTAATGAAAACATGGCCACTGGTTTGTTTACACTGAGATCGTCCTTTTGCTGTGATTAAAATGTATTCTTTACCTCTCACGCCCCTTCCTCCGGGTCCAAGTTAAAACAGGAAGTGAATGGGCTCCAAGAGATCTGTAAGAAGAAAACGCGAAGGCATTTTGCATTAGGTGAAATGAGTAAGAAGCTGGGAATGTTTGGTGAAGACAAAATATGTTTCTTCTCTCAACAACAAAAAAGCGAAGTCTTAGGAGAAACTGAAAAAGGTGCAAGAAAATCATGGTCCAAATAGAGGCGAACTAAAATGACCCATGATTTTGAATAATTAATAGAGTGTAATAAAAGAGAACCAGTCTGACCATGCCACAGAGTATTTCCTGTGGAATACTCCTTCGAATCACTCAAGAGTTGAGATGTTGGACCTAGGAGGAAGAAATGTGGTCCTAACACAATCCTTGGCTCTCCAGGAAGCAAGAGCTATTTACTCAAAAGAACTCAAATGCAGTTTATTGGTTTTCAACTCTTGGACTTAAGCAGTAGACCACGCAGAGAGGACTTCTGGCCGAAGACCAGAAGCTACTGCTGTCGGGCAGAACAACGGAAAAGCACAGGTCAAGCTGACAAGAGTTGAAGGGGTCCGTGGGAAGCTGATATCTTCATCTCACTCTGTGTGGAGTTAGGAAATACTGTCTCGAGTTCGTGGAATGAGACACAGAATTTCAATCCATTAGTTGAAGTAATGAACGTAACCACCAGAAGAATGAAAAATAATACTGTGACTACCAAACTTTGGAAGGAAGAAGGGGAAGTGAAGGCAGAGTAAATAAACCTTCATCTTCCAATATTGACCAACAATGAAAATGATAAATGATGAAAGGGACGAGTAAGTGTATTATCTATAGTGACAGGGTAACCACCAGAAGACACAAAAATAGAAACAAGCAGTTGCCTTTGGGATGTGAGATGTGCAGGTGGAGGTGGTTTGAGGGTGACAGTGTTGCTTCTGTAGTATTTACACTTTTTTTATCCTCTATATGATTCCTTCCAAATTTTGAAAAATATGTAAAATTTGAAAATCACCAGGCAAAGTTTAATTATTAATCAGAAGGATATTTGGCAAGTATAGACTCCGTGTGATTTGTGGGACAAGTCTCTTACGTTGTGGGAAAGCCCAGTGAAATTCCCCTCCCCAGCAATGGAGAACACATCCTTGGTGTTCCCCCAATTTCCAGGCCTGTCACCACCAAAAGGAACTGGCTCCACATGGATACATTTTGATTTGCTGGTCTTCATTTTCTGTACTTACCACTCCTCTGTGTCCTGATGACATGGACTGACATGAGAGTCATCAGACTTCTCCTAGAAGTAACACATTTCAATCTTGTGTTGCTCAAAATAGGGAATAATGTAACTGGAACAGTGGTTCCCAACTGTGGCCACATGTGAGACTCTCTCTTGGACATTTAAAAACATACCCCTGCCCAGGCCCCACTCCAGACCGATGACATGGATGGCCTAGGCTTTGATATTAACAACAACCACCACCAAAGTTCCCCAGGTGTTTCTATCCTGCAGGTAAAGTTGAGAATCTCTGGCCCAGTCTCCCGTGTTTTGTTCATCAGAGGATTGAAGCAGGTCCACCTCAAGGTAGTGCATGCTTCCTTCATCATCATAGTCCTTGCAAGCAGTCAAAATTCTGCTTCTCAGCGCAGAATCTGAACCTCTTGACAGCTCCTCCTACCCTGAAATTCTCTCCCTCAGTTTCTTTGATCCCCTCTCTTCCTGATGCTCTTCCTCTTAGTCTGTTCATGGGGTACCCGTCCCCTGTCTTCTTGGGACTCTTCTTCCTGGTCACATTCCATGGAATTTCAACTACCTTCTTGACCACCACTGTCATCATACTGAGGATGGCTTCCAAATCTTCATCTCCACCCCAGATCTCTCTCCAGAGGTCCAATTGTCTACTGGACATTTCCACTTTGATATCTCACAGGTTCTTCATCCAAAACTTGCCCCCAAATGGCACTCCTCCTCTATTGCCCCAAATCCTTTCTCCTATCTTCCCTGCTGTGTCAAATGGCACCAGTTATCCAATCTCCTTCAACCAAACAAACCCAAACTCCAGGAATCCCCTCGACACTTCTTTTCCCTCCTCTAACCAGCATTCAATTCATTCTGTCTTAGTTAATCCCCTTCTGCTTCATCTCTGTGGCCTGGCTATAGTCAGTCTATCATCATCTCTTTTTTGGATGTCTGCAACAATCTCCTATCCAGTCTCCCTGACTTAATCACGTCCCCTTCTGATGCCCACTTTGGCCAGAGTGATCGTTCCAAAGCACAAATATGACTGTGTCAATCTCCTGCTTAAAACCCTTCTATCACTTCCTCGTGGTCTTCCAAGTCCAAACTTAGAAAGGTCCACAAGGCACGCAGTAACTCACTCCTCCCTGCATCTCCAGTTTCAGCACCTGCTGCCACTAACAGATGCCCCATGCATCTCGCCACACTGAGCACCCCCACCCCACCCGCAGGCCCCCTAATCTGCCAGCCGGCTTCCTCCATGCTTTCCCCTGTGGATTCTGGGCCTGGACCGGCCTTCTTGACTTTCAGCTATCTCCTACTTGTGCTTGAAAACTTTGCTCAGACCTCACCATCTCCAAGCCCCCTCCTCCTCCCTGATGCCTATCCCAGGGCCTGGAAAACATTTAAGAAGTGTTTACAGAATGAGTGAATACATATGTTCTTAATTTCAGAGAAGGAATGGAATTAGTACATGAAGAAAGTGAAAAAGATAATTATAATTTATCTCTACCTCTCAAATGCATTGATTTTTAAAATAAAGTTATCAATGTATTCTGAAGAGTCCTGGGGGTCCCACAGAGCCCCCTCAAAGGCTCCCAGGGGACCTCTTCATTTTAAATAAAACTACTTTCATTTCATCTATTTTTATATGTTGGTCTTCCGAGAAAGGTCCAGTTTGAACAGTGTTTTGTGGCCAAGAAATATTTGAAAACCAATGGTCTAAATTATTCAAATAATTAAAATGAAGTGCAATTTCTGTTTGAATTACTGCCCCCCAAAAGTTCTCATCTCTCTGTTTCTTTTTAAAGCAGCATAACACAACGATGTTTTCTTCTGGTTTAATTTAGTATCCTAGTGACATATTGCCTTTTTTTTTTTTTTTGCTTTAAAAAGAAATTGTTATTTTGAATTGATAGTATAATGCATATGGTCACAAAAAGGAATTCAGTGAAAAATCAGCCTCCCACAAATACTCATCCTCCATCTTTGAGAGACAAACTGTAGCCAACTTCAGCACATCATTCCAGAGACTTCCGTGCATAGATCACTGCTCTGGTGGACAGGGGGCCCATCCCCTTGCTCGGGACAATGGAAGAACAAGCCTTCTACACACCACTGATGGTTTAATCATTAAGAACTTGGAGTGGCCTTGGAAAGACACCTGGCCTCACTATCCAATGACTGTCAGGAAGAAGGGCTTAACATCAACTCTCCCAATATCAAAACCACTTTTTGACAGACAACCTCTAGCATTTGCTTGGCTCATATCCAAATACCCATTTCAGTCAGCTTATTAACTTACCTAGGGATACATTTTCTCCTAATATATTTTGGAAGTGTTACCAGGAAATTACACTTCTTAAAATAAGACAGTCTGTGGGTGCTTTACTGAGTTTTTTTTTTTTAACTGATTAGAGTATTTGACATTTCAATAGATAGCGTTGGGACATTTGATTCTCACATGGGAAAGAAAAGGAAAAAAAAATTCCTACTTCATGCCCATCACAGAAATGAATTAAAGATCTGCTGCAGATCAGGGCGCCTGGCTGGCTCAGTTCGCGGAGCGTGCGACTCTGGATCTTGGGGTTGCGAGTTTGAGTCCCATGTTGGGTGTAGAGATGACTCAAAAATAAAATCTTTAAAAAGACGTACTGAAGATCTAAGCATGGGGAAAAATACTCTACAACTCTTAGAAGAAAATAGAACACCTCTCAAAATTTTGGAGAAGGAAAGTTGCAGGGTTTTTTTTAAGATGACACACAAAAAAGCAAACTATGACTAGAAGAACATCTGATTACACCTAAGTAAAGACCTTTTGTCAAAATAACACCATGAACAAGATTAAAAGAGTTCAGAACACCTAGCAGACATCTATCATTCTCTACAGTGTATATGATTCCCACCAATAAGGCAGAACAAGACATACAATGAATGGAAAAGCAGGCAAAGGATACGAACTGAGAATGTAGAGATGAGGAAATAAGAATGGATGATGCATGGGGAGCCTGGGTGGCTCATGAGATCAGGCCCCGCATCAGGCTCCACACTCAGCAGGGAGTCTGCTTGAGGATTCTCCCTCTCCCTCTCCCTCTCCCCCTGCTCATGCTCTCTCTCTCTCTCAAATAAATAAATAAATCTTAAAAGAAAAGAATGGAAAATGCATGTATGAAAAGATATCCAACTTCATATATAATGAGGGAAGTGCAAATGAAACAATGAGATCTTTTTTTGCCAATCATATTGGCACACATCTTAAAGTTGGAGAATATGAAATGTTGGCTAGGATGTGGGGAACTGGCACTCTCATTCGCTATTGTCGAGAGTATAGACAGATAAAGACGCGTTAGAAGGCCATTTGGCAGCATCTTGCAAATTTGAAAATGCGCCTCCCCTGTAATGCAGCGATTCCATTTTCTAGGTATTGCCCTAGAGACACTCCCACACATGTGCACGAGGAGCCACGTGCTTAGTTTCCATCTAAATGGCCACCAGTAGGGGAACAGCTGAAAATACTGTGGCATTTGTGTTCCAGGCTGCCCATACCCATCTGCCAGGACTGCCAGAGCAAAGTGCCAGAGACCAGGTGGCTTAAACAACGGAAATTTGTTATCTCACAGATCTGGAGCCTCAAAGTCCGAGATCATTGGCTTCCTCTGAGGCCTCTCTCCTTGGCTTAAAGATGACCACCTTCTCTCTATGTCTTCTCATGGTCTTCCCTCTGTTACGTGCCTGTGTCCTAATCTCTTCTGGTAAGTACAGCAGTTATATTGGATTCGGGCCCATACTAATGACCTCATTTTCACCTAATTTGTCTATTCAAATAGATAGTCTCC